GAGCGGGCCCAGCTGTGCGGCGCTGGCCTGGTCCGCTTCCCTCTAGCCGCCCGAGCGTGCTCTGCCTGGGCTCCTGGTAGCTCCCTCGCACCGCCGCGGCGGCCAGGGCCTGCCTCTCGCCTCCTTGCAAGGCCAGCCTGCCGTCGGTTTCCTTTGGTTCTGGTCGGTGTGAAGAAACTCACTGACCTTAGGTATAGGCAGTTAATGAAAGAGCTCTTTCAGGCTATGAAACGCAAAGCTACTGCTGCAGATTATTAGAGAAAGAGCAGCATTATCTTGTGTTTGCCATCCTGTTTTGCACCCCTTTCCCAAAGCCTGTGCCAGAGCCAGGGTGCTGGACTAGGTAGACCTTAGATGAGTCTGTGACCTGCCACTCTTACTGCCTTGTAACTGGTTTTATTAACGAGGGCTTTTTATGCTGGGTGTTTTGCAGAAAAGCTGAAGAGTATCTGCGGCTATCCCAGGTGAAATGTACAGGATTAATGGCTCAGATGACAGCGACAAGCAGTGCTGTGATGTGCCTGGACCTAGCAGCTAGTTTCATGAAACAACCAGTGGACAAAGTAAGATACATGACTTGGCTGGCGCATTCTCCATAAATCCACTAAAATCATGGTTCTCTGTAGTGTGGAGGAAATGGATAAATAACTGACATTACCCTAGACCCAGTGTGCTGCTAAACGCTGAGCTTTTGCTACTCAGAGTTTGAAACAGAGCAAACTGAGATGAGTGTCATAGTCACTTCACAAATTGAACTTGCTTTGTTATGATTTCAGCTCTTTTAGTAATAAATAAACTACCACCAAGGATGTTAAATTTAAGATCTGTCCCTTTTACTGTGGGAGGGAAGCAGTAGCTCCAAGGAATCCCTCTCTACAGTGGTACCTGTAAACCTTTATCTGCCGATCTCCCAGGTAAATGCCACTGACCTACCAAAATAATATCTGGTACAAGATATTTGTGATTGTCCATTCACAGAAAGAGGAGGGTTTAATTGGACCTGACCTGATGAGTAGCATGAAAGTACTGCTTGGCTCTTCAAGTTGCCCAAATCTTGGTTAACTTTCTTTTTAACCACCTTGTGATGAAAGGGCCATGTTGTATTACATGGAAAAGACAATCTTCATCCAGTGAAATGGTCTAAAAATAACACTGCATTAAAAGATGTGGCATTCCTACGTGGTTAATCTTTCTGCGTGCAGTCAAAACTTATATCATTCATTGCACAAATTTGTTTAATATAGGAATTGAACTTTATTTTATGGTGGTGTGTAGTTTCTCCTTAATCTAGTTTGGTTGCCTAAAGAAGATGTCAGGAAGGAGTCTTGCTAACTCTTGGAGTTTGTCTTTGTCTTCTTGAAAGAGCTGTTTTGTTAAACTCTCCGGTTTGAACAAAACGACCTACCAGAGCTCCATGAAGTCTTTGGAGTGTTTGCTAGAGGTGAACCCCCGGCTGGGAATGCGAGACTTGGCTGTGCAATTCTGCTGCACAGAGGCAGTGAGCACCGCTTCAAAAATACTACAGAGGTGAGGAATCTATCCTGAGCACACTGGTAACCACTAATAAGGTTCTTTGTTCGTTAGATGTGTAAAGAGTTTGATGGTGTGAAGGACCAGGTATCTCTACCACTGACTGGAGTGGTGAGATGAGTTCTTAACACTGACACTCCAGCCATTATCTAGGCCACTTTTTAGAATATGTGTTAGAAAGGCTTAGTCTGTGAGTCTCAGTAAGTCACTGTCTGAGTCCTAGTTCTTCAACTGGGAATAGTATAAAAAATATGGGGCTCTTAATCCCTATATTTGTACACCGCATCACATTGTCTGCCATTTAACTGCTGATCATGTCACAGTTCAGAAGTAATGCTTAGCGGAAACAAATCTTCCCTCTAGAGAAGCAAATCTCTTACAATGCACAGTATTCTACCTGTAGAAACAATAGGTAAAACACTTCTATCGAGATTCAACAGATTTAATTTTTGGAATCTGGCATCTACTTTAAGAAGAGCAATCGCTGAAGAGTTCTGTTCTTGAGTGCTGTCACCCTGATAAATGCTGTTAGGGATTTAGAATATTCTGAGTTGTAGGTCAGTGTCCAATGGCTGTGTATAATTGTCAGTGCTTAATACAAAAAAATATCTTGGGAACAAGTAGACAATGAAAAACTAAATTCTCTACTGCTGCATATCCATCATGTCATCTTCTATATTTAAGTCTTAATCTGCGTAATACACATATTGGAGGAATCAAAGAAACTATAATTCTACCCTCTATCATAGGATGGTTTTATGCAAAGCATCTCATTGTAACTTTCAGATGTAACATAGAGGTAAAAGTGCTCTGTGGATGGGGAGCACAGAATAGATTTTTCTGACATCCAGATCCCGGATTAATTCATAAAGAGGAGGTGATCCTAATTGTCTTCTATTCTCTAGCCTCTTTTGCTCTTCTCAGACAGTAGCAGCTGTTCCTGCTTGACTAGGCTGCAAAGGAGCAAATGGTCCAACAGGAGACCTGTTCAGCTGCTGAGACCTTGTGACAAATTAATTTCAACAGCTTCATTTAGGGCAACTTCACTATACAATTACTTCTGTGTTGTTGTTCTTTAGGTATGAATCCAGCCTCTCTGAAGCACAGCAAATGGACCTTGATTTCTCAAAACCACTTTTTATAACAGCTGCACTATTCATTGCATGCAGGTGAGTGTAGCTTGAGGGATCTTTTATGGGCTTAAATGCCAAGTGAGACACCAGCCAGACACAGTGCTTACAGTGCTAGCAGCTAATTCATTCAGCATGTCTGAAGGGTCTGGCTTAGTGCAGCCTGCTGCCCCCCTCCTGGAAATGGAGACAGTGGTAGCAAACCAGGCCTTCCCTTACAGTGAAGTCTCCAACCTTCTCCTGTCTTCAGGAGAAAGTATTGTATCAAATATACAGAAAAAGATCTTGAGTTACTTATCCTAACATAAATGAAATTGGTCTTCCCTGCTGTGTAAGTGGATGCTGTGGGTAATTCCATTAGGACATATCCATGACAGTGGCTAAAGAACTTCTGGTAGTGTTTTGCACTTCACCCTCCTTCCTCATAGCCTAACCAGTGTACCATAATTCCTTAGTAACAGATCCTCAGATACAGTGGGAATTCTTTTCCCCTGTCAGGATAGATTTGAGCTAGCCATGAAGCAAAAAGCAGCTCTTGGTGAGATACTGCTCAAGTTGCAAGAAGGGCTGCTAGCTTACTTCTGAGCACGAAGCAGCAGACATTCTGAAGAAGGAAAAATCCCTGGGAGATGGATCCAGTAGCTGTAGGCCTGAATCAGCTTGGAAGATAGGTGTCAGGAGCACCCGAGTCAGACAACCCTTTGTAAGAATTTGCTTGCATACAAATATCTTCCCTCTTGGTATTATGCCTTGAAACAATCTTACTAAGCGATTCAGGTGCTGTGCAGTTGTACAGCTCCTGAACAATGTTCTCTTGACACAGGAGTCCCATTCAGCTTTTTGCAGTAGCGGGATTTTGTCCTGGTTCCCTCAAAATCTGAAAAGTACCTAGTAGAATTTCCTCGTGTAACTTTAACCCTGGGTTAACTTCTGAGCTGTGTTGACTCAGTAGTGTAGGAGTCTATTTTTTAGGCAAGTTTGTTTGAGACAGGGATTAAATAGGACAAACTCAAGCCTACCTGCCTCATGTTCACAGGCAGTGTTGGTATAGTAAATGTCACTTCACCTGAGTGATAGTTGCTTTCTCTTGTAGGTGTTTGAAGCTAAAAGTGGACAAAACTAAAATGTTGGCTATATCTGGGGTGAAAAAAGCAATATTTGACCGGCTGTGCAATCAGCTGGAGAAGATGAGCCAGCAACTCTGCAGTAAGTTGTTTGGCTTTATCCCTGTCAGATAGCATACCCAGCACCTGGCCTCACCTACCCCATCCTTTTCACTAGTGATTTCATACTGATCATTTTCAGCCAAACCTGCCCATCCATTCCAACATGTGTCCTGTAGCCCAGTTGCCAGTCACAGTAATTGCTTCTGGGGAAGTCACAACAACTTAGCATGTGGCCAGAAATAAATATTTTCTGCTCTTCTCAGATGCTCACTGCTCCTTACATTCTCTGCTGCTGCAATTTATTCCCTGCTTCTCCCATATACCTGACCTATCTTGGATTCCTCCTCCTCACTAGATGCTTTCTGCATCCTGTTAACATGGCAACATGACACACAAATTAACAAACATCTTGCTTCCTCTATTGCTTCAACTCACTTCTGTGTTTTTCTTTCCTCTGCTGCAAGATTAACAAGCCTAGCCTTGCTCTTCTGGTGGTAATTCAGGCATTACATGACACCATTCCTCCACATACAGTGGGCAGGCATGAGGAATCTTTATCACCCATTGTTAGACCTGCAGTGCTCTCTACTCCATTTTCTGGAGGAGGAAGAGTGAAATATGACACACGTCTTCTGTCCTTATCTCTGCTCCTTCCTACTTAACCTCGTTTTTTCCTTTCTCAGGCTTTTGTTCTTACTCTTCCACTGACAGCACCCCTTCACATCATGAAGTTTTCTGGAATGTGCTGCCTCAATCCTAACCAAAACCTGCTGCTCTCTCCCTGCGCATGGACCCTCCTGTAGTCCAGTGCCCTATAGAAAACCCAAAACCTTAACCCACCACTAAAGCAGCTAAAGGCAGCAGTGAGTTTCTGCATCAGTTCAAGGAAGTGTGTACATCTGTACACACAGACAGGCCCCTGCATGTTGTGGGCATCTCTAATACAAAGCGTGGAAATGGGTTAGAAGAGGAAGAAATAACTGATAATCTTGCCTGAGTAATCAAGAAGAGTAGCAGTGTGGGTTTTGGGGTAGGAATGTGGTGGATCGGTGTGGTTAACAAATGCAGCAGCAGTGCTAGTTAGAGCAGCCAGCCAGTCCATGCAGCCCCTGAAGGGTGCTGGCATCTCTGCTCGTACAGCTTGGGTATTGGTCTGCACTTCTGGAAGGTAGCACTGCTGTCAGGGAATTGCATGTAGAACACCACTCTCGGGGCCCAAAAAACTCTATTCAGAATTTAAGCAACTTACTTTTTTAGAAGATGATGTTCCACTGGCTGCAAAGACACCTGAAAGCTTGACCACCTCTGTGGAGCACTGTGAGGAGGAAGATGGTAAGTTGTATTTAACTGAACTAAAATCAGCTCACCAGAGCAGTACTGAGCTTTATTGCTGCTTAATGATGTTTTATCATGGAATACCTTAAGTTGGAAGGGACCCATAAGGATCAAGTCCAACTCCCTGCTCCTCACAGGACTACCTAAAACTAAACCCATAGGAGCCATAAAAGCATCATCCAGTTGCTCCTTGAACTCTAACATGTTTGGTGCCCTGACCGTTTCTCTGAGGAGTTTGTTCCAGTGATAGACCACCCTCTTGGTGAAGAACCTTTTCCTAATGTCCAATCTAAACTTCCCCTGACAGCTTCTTTCCATTTCCTTGTTTACTATATTTTATTTTTGTAATACGCCATAATATTTGGCTCACAGCAGCTTGGTCCATTCTGCAAACCGCTGGCTTATGAAAGGACAGAGAACCTAGCAGAAGGACAGTGGTGTTTCTATGGAGTAGTCCAAGTAGAATTAAGGGCAACTCTTCCATTCAGACACAAATGTGAAAAAATGAGGGGAGCAGCACACCACAGGATTAGACAGTACAATGACAGACCCTCTGCTGGTCTCTACATTTACTCACTGCCATGGCTATTGCCAGCAACATACTGCCCATGATGGCCTGTCATGGACTTCACTTCCTCCTTCTCTCATAGGATCTGAAGATGATGAGGAGATGCCATGTAAACGGCCAAAGACTGAAACAAAACAAGACTATGAAGAATGGAAAAAGAAAATCCTGGAAAATGCTGCTAAGACACAAGAGACAAGTAGGAGTACTGTCTGTAGTGCCACCTAGTAATATCACTGCTGCTTGCTCATAATTTTAACTCTCCCTCTGCTCTAACAAGAGTTCCAGTAGCGTGTGAGGGATAGCTGCCTGATAGCCAGCTAATTTTATTTATAAGATAGTTTTTAAGTATTTAAGAATAGTATTTTTAGTAAATGACACCAGAATTGAGGTGATTTTACACAAAGCCTATCTGACTACTTGCCAGGCTGGTACCTGAGCAGCTATGGCATTAGGTGGTAGAAAAGTTTCACTTCTCTTGCTGCAAGAAGCAGTTAACATTCTAATGCTGTGTTAAGTATAAGTTATGAGTTATGCCCTTGTGCCCCTGGCTGGAAGAAGTCAGTGGAAAAAAAAAGAGGGAGGGGACTAACAGTGCCTTGTTAAGCTGCAAAACCAGCAGAGGAGTTAAAAGCCTGGTAATTTTAAAGTTTTTTTACCTGTAAAAGAAATATTGTTTAGTGACTGAGTTTGACTTATTTTTATTACCTGTATGGGACTGAAATCTCATTGTAAGGGGTCCCAAATATTCCAAGAAACAATAAAGAGAGTGGAAGGAAAAGCTTTGTATGACATCGGGTTCTTCGCACTTGTCATATATAAAATCCTTGAGTGCAAAACAAAACACATACAGGAGATACCTGTGCTTTAAGGAGGAAGATAGGCAGGGAACAAGGATCTTATCTGGGTAATACAGGTTTTTTGCATCTCAAAGTCAAACAGTGGAGAGTGCCCCCTGCCTTGTAGTTCTTGGGGGCAACTTCTACTGTCCTACACTTCCATCCCAGCTACTCAAACTATAATTTGTATTAACTACTTTTTGAAGGAAACAAAAAAAATCACAATTTTTAGTAGCACAGGGCTGGTGTAACTATAAAAAAAAAGCCATCCACATCTTCTGCCCATTTCTCTTGCATGTTTTCTGCCCTGGAGTATGCAAAGAGAAGTTAATTTTTATAAACTCTAATTTCAGAACAGCCCAGAAAACCCCAAGTTTCCAGATGATGCAAGATAAATCATCTCTTGTCTGAGCATTTAGATTTGAAACTCTGCTCCCACCTAAGCTTCTTCTCAGCCAGTAATGCCTTGGCAAATGCCTCACTGCTGTGTATACTCTGCTTACCTGGGTGACACTGATCACACCAGCATTATGATAGTTGGTATTATTAACTGCTTTAGATATCAGTGTATGGGGCCAGTTCTTTTTGTTATATTTACCATTCCAGTGACTCACAGGTCACCTGTGGTTTGCCCTTTTAGGTTTTTTTGTAGACCCCAAAGCAAAGTGCACAGGACACAGTGAAATATCCCATAAGGTTGCAGAGGCATGTTTCGGTGTACTGCAGAACCATGTGACAGTGCCAAATCTTAAGGGATTTCTTTCTATTAGGAACAAAAGAATAATCGTGCTGGCCAGGGGCACCTTTCTACGTAGAAAAGGGAGAGGAAATATGTACAAGACAGCAGAGAGCATCTGCATGTTACCTCTTAAAAAGAGAGGAAGAAGCACACACTAATTGGAAAACTAAAACCTAGTGCCCATTTTCCTTTTACTTCTCCCAGTGTATAAAAAAAGAAATCACTTGAAGCCAACTTTAATTAGTAAGAGCTGATTTCATTCCTGAGGAGAGTTCTGAAATGTAACAGTAACTACTGGGGAATGGATTCCAAACAATTGCCTGATGTGCAGAGAAAATACTGGATAATTAACCCACATGAAGTATGAGCTGTACCAAAACATCTGCTGTTGTAACGCATATGTAGCAGAGGGGCCTCAGGATGGGGGGGATTCCAACCTCATACATTAGCATTCTGCTGTTAAAACCTACTCACGGATGCTTTTGGCAGCAGGGGACGGGGGCGGGGTAGGGACGTGTTAAACCAAACTTGAGGAATAGACTTGTTACACTTTAATGGAATTTATTAGTATTAATTCAGAAATATACAGACCAATTAATATAATCACATTTAGCATGCAAAACCACTGTGGAAGAAAAACATGAACAGAAGTGGGCCTTCACAGAAGGTGATAACATTGTCAAGATTATTTCACTTGATTGCAAGATTATTTCACTTGATTTAATAATTTTTCTCTGTCTCAATTCTGGAAATACTGCAGAAGTCCAGAATTCAGGACTATGCAAAGTGAGAAGCACCAGAATGGAAAAGATAGCTAGACTAGAGCAAGCCAGTCTTACAAACCTCTTTATTAGCAACTGACACTTTTGCCAATTCAAGGGACATGAAAGTCCATAAAGGGAGCTTTACAGTGGTTTGATGTCTTTGCTGGAACACTAGTTTTAGTAGTATTAACTTCTGGTTTTCCTAAAAGCCCATCCAGCTCACACTGAGTTTTGCAGAATCTAGAACAAGCATGAAGGAAACCATGGGTTTAATAAATAATACTATACTTTCAGCTGAGAGCTAGTGACTGCAACACTTTATACATCAGGAAAGTTTAAAATCCAAAATAAGTTAGTATTGTGAAGAAAAAATGTTCAAGAGCAAGGTGAGAAAAAAAAGGGCTTCAACCTCCTAACTAGGCTAAAGGCAGAGTCTGGCAGCACACCATTTTGCCTGCCACTGAACAGCAACAAAACCTGTTTTGCATATCACACCATATCAACTTCTCAGACTTCATTAAATTTGTCAGAGAGGTGAAAAAAATCCTCAAACTAAAACTTACAAAGTTAAGGGCTGCAGTCCCAGCCAATTAGAAGCACTTACAAGTTTTAAATACATATAAAACAACGTCTGGAAATTCTTCTTTTCTGGGCAACTGAGGTTTTTTTGCATAGACCTAACAGTCATTAGGCATTTTTTATTTGTGGCAGTTTTAGCTAACTCCTTCCAAAAGTTCAATTAATTCAGCTCTATTCAACTCACCATAAGAAAAGGAAGCAATGGATTGACTGAAGTTGCTTCAAACCAGGATTCCTTCTATTTCTGAACTATGCAGTGACTATTTCTTAATGGAAAGAGTAGAATAAAAAAGGCCCAACAAACCAAAACCATTCAACTCTGAGTAGCTGCACTGAATCATCATGTTTGGGGGGAAAAAATAAAATTAAACTTTTTGAAAAATTCACAGAAGAAAAGAATATCCAGTCTTTTTAGTTCTAAGTAACAAACAGCCAAGGGAAAAATTGTGCCGCTGTTGTGGCAGTGCTCTAAAATTGATGACATATATCAGTCATGAAGAAAGTCTTTAGATCCCATGCTTGGTGTGAAAAACCAGAAAACTGATGGTGTGTTTTCTGGTTTTAACACACGGACAATACCCTACCCTGCGGAATCAAAACCTTCAGCAAGAAGTCAGCCCTAATAATGACATTTTTTCATCACTATGTACAACTACTAAAAACTTGTAAAAACAAACAAGGACGCTTCTGCTTCTAGAAATTATTTCAGTGCCTCTTTCTTGAGGTACTTCTGGAACCTTAGCACTAACACACATAATATTTGAGGAGGACAGACCCAGAACCTTATATTATAAAACAAAGGGGTAAAAATTATTGATGATACTGAGTCCTTCTTCCATAGCTTCATGTCAAAGTAGATACTTCATACAAGCTTATGCAAGCTTGACAGACATACTCTGAAATCTCTTCAGCCTGTTAGCAGCAGCCACCACATAGAAATGCTTCTGTGAACAAAACAGAACAGTCCAAGTGTGAGTACAACTGAGGTAAAGGACCCTTTCTGTAGCTGACATGGATTTTTCTTCCTGATAAATCTAGGCACCCACACCTTGCACAGACTGCAGTGCAGAACAGCGTTGTACTAGGGAACCACTGATTACTGCAGAACAGACTGCTGGTACTGTGAACTTCTACAGCATTATTATGAATTGTGCAGCAATATGTCTTTAGATTATGTATTTTTTTTTAAATGCAAGTGCAGAAGCCCGTGACTAAACAGTTGGAGTGGAGGAGTGGAAAAAGTGTAAACATCTAGTTTAACTCCTTGGCAAGGAATTACAACTCTCCAGTGACAAAAGAAAAAAGAAATGGTCCTCACTGAGTTTTCCTCACATTCCACAGACTTCTTTGTAATAAGATCACTTTGTTCACCTTCCAAGATTGATTATCTATAATCCAGTAGAGGCTCCAATAGAAATTCTTATCTCACTTCATAAAAAAATTTAGTTCTGAAGGAGCATGGAGTTATCAGTAATGTCCTGAAGAGTTCTCTCTCCCCCACACTTTGACTCTGCAATGGGAGGCACAAAACTGCCTTATGTTGTGCTGATCTTCCCCCTGGAAGTAAATTTGCCAGACTATGTCCATTTACCTTCCACTTTCTGTGAGCCATATAACTCTGCAGCAACAACTGGGACTTCAGGCGAAGTTTGAACTTCTTGGCTTTGGCAGGTAGATCATTTAACCACTCATGCTTCAGACACTGCGTTGCGCTCATCCGGCAGCTGTAGGAGAGGAAATCTGCCATGTAAATCCAGCTACCCTCACTGCTATTTTTTCTGTGCCCTGTGCTCCTCAATATTACTGATAAAGAACCTGCCCTAAATGAACCAACACAAGTGAGTGGAGATGCTGTTCATCCCAGTGCACAGGATCCTAATGACATCCTGCACTCACCAGTCTTAAGGGGTGAGCAGTGGGAAAACCTGCTGGTGAGTCTGCAGTGGGTTGACTGAGCTATGGTTAAACACTGTATTTTGTCTTTTTATGGTTTGGGTTTGGGTGTGGGGTTTTTTTCCTTTGAAGAAGCAGCTGTACAGGTTCATCAGTTTATGTATCATTTTGTTATGTGAAGGCAGAACTTTGCTAAGACAACCAGTGCATACAGAAAAATAATATTTGTGGTGTTACCTGTCTGTCCTAATAGTGCAGGCTTATTCTGTGCCTCGTATTTAAAAAGCAGTTGTCTATTCACCTAAACTTGAATCAAGCTAGGCATACGTTATATCCTGACATTCAACAGTGGGCTCAGATGTGAAGGGCCATCCAAAAAGCTTTGAGAAATACATGGCAATAGAGGAAGTCTTGGCGGAGGGGTGTTGAGAAAAAAAAGTTTTGTTTGCCTTTTTTCAAAACAAAAGCCTACGTATGCCTAACTCCTGCACTTTGAGCTGTCACTGAAGATGATGAAAAGATAAATTCTGCCTGCTCACACCTGATTTCAGTAGTCAGGGGAGACGGGAACAGACCTTGCACAAGGCCAGACCTACTGTCCCAGCATGGTAAAGGTGCCCAGTCTGTAGGAGAGCAGAGGCGTCCATATACCGTGTGAACAACTGGGCCAACTGATTGTTGCTCTTTGCATCTCACCGACAACACTCATTTCTTGCATAGTCATTGCATTCACAGCTTCTAAGCAGACTTTGCATAGTGTCCCTCTGGACCTCCCTATTCCCATTGCATAGAAAAAAGCAAACTTTACAGTCTCCAAATGTTACAGTCTTATAGCAAATCATTACAGTCAGAGGAAAAAAAAAAAACCCTTTATTGTCTCCTGCTGGCAATATGCTAAAGTTCAGTTTATTCTTAGCTTTTCATATGACTTATGGTTCAAAATTTAATTAGTACTAAAACTGACTTGTCTGATTTAGGTAATGATCTGGAAGTTGTTAATATTCCAAGCACTCCTCTGAATTCCCCTCAAACACCAATCTCTTTTACTGTATGCATCATTCCTGTTTTGATTAGTTTTGTATCACTACTCAGCAAGAGAAAAATTTCTCTGCTCACTTATCCAACCCCGTAGCCACGGTGTGACATCAGGATCATCCTTATTCGCTCCTGTTCTGAATGTGCAGTCACTTATTACCGTGGAGCCAAGACTGAGAAGCCACATGCAGAGTAAAGTTCTAAACATTCCTTAATATCTACCAAATGCATATAGACCACTTTAGAAGAGAACAATGCACATTTTCACAGCTGCAGCTTCTGTTTATCCTCCATGGTATTCAAGAGACATTTTTGCAATTTGTGGTGGGGCTTGTGAGAATCCAAAGTAACAATAGAAATAGTTTTTGCTCAAAAAAGGAATACTAAAGAGATTCCTACAAGGCAAATCCTTCCAGATCACCTCTGTTCTGCCCATACTGATGCTACTGCAAAAAGCACCTTTCTTCAGCCAAGGTACACAGATATTTTCCTTTTAAACAGGGGCTTTTGAATCAGTGAGGAACTGCCCAGCGAGCACCGATACAGCATCCAAAAATGTCACATAGTAAGTTCTCACTGTCGGCTGCAATCCAAACAGTTGGTTAGTAGGAACTTAACATCATTAGGTGCTATTGTCCTCACGATTGAAGAAGTACCTTTTCTCCTTCACGAGCAGTCTGGAAATAAAATCTTTAGCTTCCTCTGATAGCTGTTCAAATGCTTCTGCATCAAAATCCCAGCTGCAGTTGACTACATAATTCATTGTCTCTGCATCAGTTTCTCCCAGGAATGGGGACAGGCCACTAAGCCTTAAAAAAAAGAAAGAACAGGAGGGAGATGGAGCAATTAGATGCAAGATGCATTTTTCCTTCTACAAATTCTCTGCTTTGTAATTGTTGTTAGCTTAT